CAGAGACACTTGTACATCCATGTTTGTTGCTGTTCTTTTCACAATAGCTAAGAGATGGAAGCAACCTATGTGTCCTTCAGTTGACAAGTGGATAATGAAAATGTGTTTCATTTATATGATGGAGTTTTACTCAGCAGTAAAGAAAGATGAAATCATGAAATTTGCAGGTAAATGGATGGAACTAGAAACTGTTATACTAAGTGAAGTAACACAGACTCAGAAAAAAAAATTGACATATGTTCTCCCTCATATGTGGATCCTAGGATCAGACTCTGATAAATAAGTATGCAACCAGACATAACTACAGGAGCCAGGATAATGGAAAGGAAATAGGGAGATAAAGGAAAAGAAAGAACCTGAAAGAGAAGAACAGTAGGAAACAAGCCTTAATAAGGGAGATAAGAATAAAAACGGGGTTAGTTTAAGGGAGCGGGGAGGGAAGGGTATACAAGGAACTTAGGGGATAAAGGGAAAGAAGGAGCACAAGAGAGGTAGGCTCATAGGAGAAGGGTATTATTAAGGGAGAAAGGGGGAAATGGGGGTACCTTAAGTGGGAAAACCATGATGGAGGGGTGAGACAATGTGAGAGATAAACGATCTTTGCCCAAGATTTATATACGTGACACACAGTAATAAAAATACCAGACTGGTGGAACTAACCTTCTTGGTGTTTAAGAGACATATTTTGAGGTCTATAATAATTTGGTCAAAGGGACATAAAGGACACTTTTTGCTCCTTGCCCTCCTAGGTTGACTAGTTCCAGGGGACTATGAGCATCTCTCAAAACATCCTATAATGGTGGTGGGTCACCTGTCCTCTTGTTCAAGGAGGCCGAGGAGACCCCACCAGATGGACTTGAACCAGTGTCCCATCTATAAAAAGGAAAGTCAACACAGAGGAATCATGTCCTCCATGCTTCCAAGCGAAGCCAACCATGGTCGAGCAGGACCTTTGACTTATCTTCACATAGGCAGAAGTGGTAAAAGAAAGGATCCAGGGGCTCCTCCCAAGCCCATGTGACCCCTGAGGAAGAGACCCTCAAAGGACTTCCACTGTATGGCCTTAAACACCTGAAAGGAGACTATAACCAAAAATGAAAGAGGCCAATATAATTTCTTAAGAGTCCATATGCATACCTAAAGACTAC